GCTGCGCATCACGTGAACAACATTTTCTGCTATTCAGGTATTGTTGACTGTTGCTTGCTGTAAAATGTTTTCAGAGCTGAAAAGTGAATTTAATAAGATCGTATTTGTTCACGTGATTCTAGAAAAAAGTATTTCATTTCTGTCATTTTGCACATTCTTTTGCCTTTGTGAGCAGTAATTTGCATTGCTTTTTTCTGCTTTAACGCTTCATCTTCAGTTTCTCAACTTTGGGGAAATATTAAGTAGTACTCCTTGCCCCCTCCCCTTTTTTTTTTAATTGAGGAAGCATCAATTAGCCAGTGTGTATCCAGATGCCTCGCAGCCCTCTCTATGGAACAAACGGAGCATCGCAAGCAGGTATGTTATGTCATTTAGCACAATAAATTTCATTGATTGAGCTGTATGAGCGGACACTAAAGTATTTTAAGACTCGTGTGTGCTGTGATGGACGCGTGCTCACAAAACCAGGAGTATGTAAGACTGAACTGCTTGTCTGCACAGTCCAGGGAGAACCCAAACAGGTACAGGGATGCTGGGCAGGGCTCACATACTTCATTAACACACAGTGTTGCTTCTGTCACCCGAGAATGACTGTTAATCATTCATACGTTGTATGTTTCAACAAAAATTCTAACTGGAACTTTTCAGCAAAATCATCACTTTGTTTCTGAAAACTCTTGTGCTTACGTCTTCATCTTTTAGCTGCTTCCCTACGCAAGGAAAGTCCACAAGTGAAATTTGGTCCTAGTTAACTGCGACACAGCTTTGAAAACTAAAGGAAAGGGGAAAAATCTGTAGCTGGATCTTGATCAGATTGTGAGTGCCTTCATGAGGCATCACTGACAGGTATTCTGCAGGGTTTTTATAAACACATTCCATTTTAATGTGCCAATGTTTGGCGTTTTTTAAATTATTTCTAGGGTTTCTTTTGCCTTACAATAGCTATTCAAGTAACAGCAGTAATAAATGAAAAGTTACGAACAACATAATGAAATCTTAAAAACTTTATTAGTGTGACACAGGTTCTCAGTACAGACTGCGAAGTACAGTCAAAAGTCTAAATATCCCCAACTTAAATCTCCGGGCTGTCTCTGTCTGCAATGCTACATACCAGAGTCTGATTTTGGTATACGTACAAACGTTGGTATGACCTTCCTCTGCAAGCTAATGGTGAAGCAGTACATGCATAAGGATGTGCAAAAAGATGTTCTGCAGGTTATGAAGACAGAGGAAAATGCATGGAGGCACTTGACACACCGCAGTCGCGACAGCCCTGTCTGCAGCAGACTTACGAGAGGCGCCTACTCGTGCCTGTTCTCTTGCAGCATTGCAACAGATGAATATGACATTGTTCCTTGCAGCATTAACTTCTGCCCTATTTCTGCATTCCCTTCGGGAGTGTGAGGAACAGAAGCAAGGACTAGAAACAGTGCAAAATAAAATTTTAAAAAGTCCACCTGTTGACCTGAACTTCTCTCTTATCTCTGCTAAGGCTCATGTACCTTCATTTCCTCTTCTGTGATGGTAATGGTGTCGTTACACCAGGATTTCTATTTGTTCAGTCCAGAAGACTCCTGACATTACGAGATATCAGTACAGATACGATTGGAAATAAAAAAAAACCTAAAATCCTTATCTGGTGTGTTTTGTTGTTTTAACTACAATTACGGCAGCGTTCAAAATACCTGTTTTACTACTAGATGCGCTTGATGAAGCGGTTAATCCCCAGTTTCTCATTCTTTAGCTACCCACAGCTTACCTATGGTTTTCTACCATGAACTGGCTTGAGGAAAGACTGCAGAGCCAGGCTGAGGATAACTAAAGCTCATTATATTCCAGCATACATAATGCATTCACTGCAATGTTAAAAATGCTAACACGTACAAATTATTCTGAGATTTACAGGCACTATGTGGAGATTATGTGCAAAAGTCTGCAGATTTTTTTTTTGGCATTGCTATTCATTTATGAAATCAATTTCTTGCAAATATAAAGCATTCTTTCTTTCTGAAAACTGAAGAAAATTACAAAAAAGTCAAAGTATATGAGTATAATAAAATGAATGGCTAGGGAAAAAAAACCAAAAACAACACCTTAGTCTACTACAGGGAAAAAAGAAAATATGAAAAAAGTCCAGCAGTATCACTGTACAAAACCCACCCAGAATAACCACATGCTTTTTGCATCAGCTTTTGTTCAGCAGGAATAATTATCCACCAACGGAAAGAAGACGTTTTATACAATGTGCCAAGATCCTGGGGGGAAGAAAGAGAAAAAAAAAAATCAGAGTGCTTACCTTCTTGAACTTGGAAAAAAATTCACAAAATAAATCTGGGAAGAATTATGGGAAACATAAGTCTCTAGTGACAGAAATAAATTCAGTTAGACTTAATATCACAAGAGATTAGGTATTGTTTGAAAGTGATACTGCAGTGAGGGTAGCAGTCTACTGCAGATATGCAGTAACAATGCATCTTTGTCTTGCCCATTTGAAGTCGGTTGCCAAATGTTCACACAGGATTTCACTCCATGGAATTACTCATACTCAGAGGAGCCAGGACTGCCTCTGCAGTCAGAGGAGAGAGGCTCCGCTGCTGGGGCTTCGGAAAGCCAGGACTTGGACCCTCCTGGCTGGCGTGCAGCTGGACGGAGCCCGGCACTGGACGTGCCCTTGCCTCTTCTGTTCCACACCCCAGGAAACCCTCCAGCCTGAAGCACTTGTATCAAGCATCAAACTGTAGTTATGTGAAACCTTCCATGAGCTAAGGATGATGATGCTAAACTCCAATTACTTACTCTTACGTTACGGCTGTGATCAAGCTAAGTACAAAGAAGTACACGGTGGCAGTGGAACACATGCACAGAACGAGGCTGTATTTGTGCCACGGAAGCTGAGAGCAGAACACTGAAACTGCTACACCTGCCAGCTTAGCTGTGGGGCTTTTTATATCTCTTCTGGACACTGTTCCAAAATTAGCCTGGTGCAGAAATAATGACATAAGCTCACTGTCCTGAAGATATAACAACCAGTTGAGATGTGCTTGGTCTTTGTTACTCTGCAAAAAGGTCTTACGAGGGAAGCAGTACGTCATGCCTCGGAATCCTTAGTTACATGAACACAAAGGAATTTAGCTACATGAAGTAATTCTGTACAAACTGTACAGAAAAAGGGTGCGAAAAAGAAGTAGGGCCTTTTCTGCCTGGGAACACTGAAGTTCAAAGTCATTCCAAGTGTTGTGTCTAACAGCATCTCTAACTGTGTCTTGGTTCTGTTGAAAGACTGTCAACAAAACTTAGCTTTAATAACATTAGCCTGAGTTGTCTTTGTGGTAGTTCAGAAAATAGAGACGAAGAAGTCTCACCTGCTGACATTAACGTTTAGCTTGCTTTCTGCTTCTCAGATTTGCTGCTGGAGGACTGTCCCTTTGCCTAAAGAGCAAGAGAGGCAGGAGACAGTAAGAAAGTGTGAACTAAGCTAAAATCTGCAATAAAATAGTGACAGACACTCATCAGAAGTCACAGTTCAGATATAAATATGATCTGCAATTGAAATAGAGAAAGGTTAGCAACAGTATTTGTAACTTCTGTTGTGTACATGTATTTTCATTTTTCTACCATCACTTACTTTGTTTCAAGTAAGGAAGGCTGTGGCTGACCTCTTCATATCCTATTTCTCAACAGCCTTTTACCCATGCTAGTGATCCAGTCACAACTCAGAACATTTAAAAAGACATCCTTCTTAAGAGGAGTTAAAGACCCTCTCCAGTTTTACACCAAAAATTGTAAGACTGTTCTGTTGTTACACAAAAGGCATGTGCAGCAATTTCATAATAAAGAAAAATCCCATCACTTGAAACGTGAAACATAGAATTTCCAGAGCAGACGTTACCATATGATTCAGGCATCTACCTGCACATATCCTGTGAGAGAACAATGTGATGGGAGAAGTTTCACCCTTACCTAAATCCATTTTCTGTATTTCTGGATGACAAAAACCAAGCAACTTCTTTTGTTTTTTTAAATATAGAAACAACTGCCTGCCTTTTCCCACCAGACTCATTCTGCATACTTATTTATGAATACCTGTAGGTTTTCATTCATTTTTCTAAAATAAATTACAATAACTTGTGAAAAGGACATGTGGTTGAAGGAGTATATTATAATCACTTCTAGAATGCTGTTATTTACAACTGTCAAGAAAAGAGAGAAGTGGTGGGGATCCCGAGGCAGCTAGAGGCATGTGATGTGTGACTCTCAGATCAGCAAATATTGGGATGAGGAGCCTGTGGAGCATGCACTGAGCCCCCTGTAGAAGACCACACTGTCTCTGAAAGAAACATATTTTAGCCCCCATTTATTGAAAATTTCCTTTGAAATAGACAGGTGCTTTTCTCCTTTGTGCACGCTTACAAAAATGGATCAAGTTCAACATACTGATGTAAAATTCTCCCCAAAGTAATATCCATGTAATATGAATCCAAAATCCAGTTGCCCATCTTTCATGTTTGTAGGGTATGGTAACCATGACTGTCTGTATTATAATATGTATGTTTCTACCGTTTTAGAGTCTTTGGGTTTTCCTTTATCCTTTGGGCTTGGTTTAGTGGTGGTGGTTTCCTTTCCACTTTTGTCCTACACTCCAGAGAAAAAAAAAATAATTACAGTTACAAACAAAACAGAGAATTTATGCCTCCTACTTTGACCTCTGCTATAACACATTATTTAATATGTGGTTGGTAAGGTGGGAGAGCGCTCAATGCAGGACGCATGCATGTAATTACTGTCCTTGGTCCACAGCAAGCTGGAATCTGGAGCCTTGTTTAATACTGGGGAGACTGGGGCACCAGAAAGCATACACAGATAAAAAAGCTGGTATATATGGGCAGATTTTGCATTCGCTACAAAGCAGTAATGTTGCAGCAGAAGATTTAGCTCCAAAGTTCATAACCAAATAAAACAGCACTTAAAACACCAATAGTTTGTCTTAAACCAGCTGAGGATTCGGTGTCAGGGTAAGCACTTGGGGAAGCACTGCAGTGGTCAGAAGAGCTATTTCGAAGCACAGCTATTTGCTGCCAGGAATTACACCTGATTTGAACTTCAGTTTCAAAGCTGCTTCTTCTCTGCCCCCCAGGAGGGGAACAAACACAGCATAAAAGCACAGATAATCATAATCAACATTTTAAGTATGGACAAACTTGTAATTCACTCTTGGTAACTGGGTGCCTTGTAGTATAAGCTTGAGGAAGCTAATGCAGAATTTCACTTGGGAGCTGGTTATGCTTCCACAGCTATGCCTGTCCAAGGGATTTAATTTTTGACTGCTAATATACTGGTTTGGTCAAAGATCAAAGACCTTGTAAATTCAAGCTTTGTTTTTTTCTTTCTCCTTGCAGGAAGCAGGCAGGTCACTACTGCAGGAAAAAGGCAGGGATGGGCTGGCAGGAGTCAGTAGCAGAAGAGAGACAGTGGCAGCTGCTTTAACCAGCTGAGTACAAAAACTATTCACCATTCAAAAAAATGTGTACCATTCCCTCTGCCTGCAGGTGAGAGACCAGGGCACCCGACAGACCATGTCACACACAGTATAAGAGAGCAAATGGCTAACAAGAGGGAATTACTGGTTCTTAACCAGTTATAGCACGCGTAGGAAACAAAAGGAGTCCATAATTTTTGCACCAATATCCCACCAGCTGCCCTGCAGCACCCTTGGGCTCCTCTGCCAAGGAAGCATGTAAGGTGACTGTAGTGGCATGGTGGATGTCTCAAAGCCATGCAAGACCTCTCCCCCTGTCCAAGCTCAAGGTAACGAACGCTGGGTTAAGAGCAAGCAGAAAGCATGTCTGACAGTGATTCTTCTCACATGTGGACCAAATCTCAACCCCCTTCTTCACACTCTTCTCCAGCACAACCATCCTTTCTCAAACACCATCCTCATGTTGGTGACCTCCAGACTGATGCAGCTTCCACTGCTAGTTCATTTCATATAGCCTCGCATGTGCAGCACTTTGCTGGGAAAAGTCTGACAGGTGTTTGTCAGCTGTGTTTAAGATGATTATATGACAAATAAACACTCCATTTCTCATTACAAGACCTCTCCACTCCATTCCTCCTTCATTTTTCTTGTCAGCTTTAGTATGTTCTGTAAGACAACCACTACATCTGGACAGCACCTTCCAAAGAGACCGGCTCTAAACCTAAACTGTGCTACTGCAAAGAAAAGTGAGGAACTTTCACAGAGAGGTGGAAAACTGTTTATTTTGCAAGTTATTAGGAGAAAATGTCCTACCTTTGCGTGCTGCGGTGTGGCAGGAGCCTTTGCACAAGTATCAAAGTCACCTGATAGGGCATCGATAGCTGCAGAGTCATCTGTAGGCTTCTGCAAAAATTTTAATTCTGAAGTCACACAATACGCAATACTTCCCACAGTCAAATTAATGTTTCAGGAACTGATGTCTGCTTTCATTATCCCTTTCTTAAAAAATAAACCAAACCATCCCTGAGCTCTATACATATGTTATAACAGAGATGTCTATTTGAGGTCAATTTCTTTCAATGCTGGACCTGAACATTCACAGTGTAGCTGTGCATAAAAACTGTATTTATTGCAAAGAGTTACTCTTCATAAAAGTTTTATGGTCCACACTGTTACTATTACCTACTGCATTCAATAGCATTTACGAGAATTTGCAATGAATCACGCCTCGAGCCTATAATGACACTACTTCAAAAAAAGATCAGAGCACACAGTATGAAACAAACACAGAACAAAAATATCATAAATGTTACCTTTTGTTCTTTGTGTTTGACATCGTCCTTTGCTCTTGGCTTTACTGGTTTACCCTTGGGAAGAAGAAAGATTACATCCTCATTTTGAACTGGTCAGATTAGTTTTAAGATACAATTACTTACGTATGGCATTGCGAGTTTACAGATTACCAAGAAAGCTGAACCCTTCTGAACTGATTTATTTATTCCTCATGCTATGTATTTAAAGTCAGTTCATGATGTGTTTTCAAGCTCTGTTAGTTTGACTACATCTGCCGTATCATCTTTCTATCCTTGCAGTCTACTGGAAAAAGTTTCCTGATCCAGAAAAGATCAAATCACTGTCAGAGCAGTCACTTGCTCCAGTGAATGGCAGTTTCACAGGGCTTTAGGTACATCACCAAGGTAATACCTGCATATCCACTTTGTCCCCAAACTTGGAACAAAACTACTTGGAATGAACAAGCACTATTACCCACAGTTTGCAAGTATCTCCTGTTTAAAAGGAAACTATAATGCCAAGCTGTTTCAAGGGATACACCCTATTTTTTCACCTGGTTTTCTGGAGCACCGAAGACACTGAGCCAGTGTAACTGCAATTTATGCTGCTGAATCTCCAGGATGTTGATTGCTACATGGTGGTTCACAGTGACTTATTTGTTCATATTGCACGATTTAAAAAAAGAAAAAAAAACCCTAATTTTTGTGGGGTTTATTTGTTTGTTTTTTTGAATTAAATGCATGCAAGGATATACAAAGCTACTCTAAGTATTGGATATTTACATGTTTCACCCTAATACATAAATACAGTACACACACTTACTCACTTTGTCAGCTTCCCTGTTCTCCCCAGAATTCCAAAGAGGACAGACTGGCTCATATGCACAAACTTCTAGTGTTGCAGTAAGACAGCTAAATAAAAACTAACAGAGCTTTTCCTTACCTGCTCACCTGACTCCAGAAGTTTTCGATAGTCAGGTGGGATAGTATCATCTCTTTCTCCAAGTTTGTCCCTGTGTTCAGATTTAGCCTTTTCCTGAAAGCAGTTAAATTTTTAACAACTTTAATGCTTATATTAGAAACATTAGCAAACAATAAGTCAGAGTGCTCATTCAACTTAGGACAGCTGCCTTTTTAGAATTTACGATTTCCAAACTACCAGAAAAACCCCAAATATTTATTTCACTATGAAGTGTGTTTCATGCCTGAAAGTTTTAAATTTACTAGCTCTCAATAAGTGTACACATTTAATAAATTAAACGTATATACACAGCAGCATCCCAACATAAAAAAAGTTATGTGAACTTTCAATTCTGCTTTTTGACAACATGAGCTGTTGAGGAGTCATTCTATACTTCTGCATTGAATCTCATCTGTGCGCTCTGGCTTTAACACCAAACTGATGTTCCTGCAATGTCTTACCCGTGAATGCATCGGAGTACCCTTAGCAAAATGCAGGGCACTTACCCACCTCACACCCAAACTGATCAAGAGTGGCCTACACTTCTCATGAGACTTAGGAGCTGGAATCAGTTTCAGATGCAACACAACTAGATGGCAGAGCACCACAAGCTCCTGAAAACTGCATCAAGGAGGGAAGCATTCCTTCCACTATGTTTATTTTTCAATTTATGCTGCTTTGATTTCTAACAAACATACTAGAAACATGCCAAATACACCACCTGGTTTAGATATGGTAGATTTTTAAGCATATTGTTGAAGAATATTTTTGGTTTTGTTAATGCAGACATTTTAAGGAATGCTTCTTTTTGAAATGTCTTCATCCAGTACAAGCATTTTCCATGCCTTTGTAAAGAACAACACATGAAGAATGCTGGGCTCCTACAGCTCCACTGAAGCACAGGAGTTGCTGAGATCTCGCACATGAAGCGTGTACTCCCTTTCTATGGCAAGGGACAATGCTACACAGACTGTATAAACCTGTTCCTAAGGCAGCCAACAACCTCCACACTGGAGCCTAGTCTGAGAGTAGAAATCTCCTTCTAGATTCCAGCCTAAATTTATTCATGAGCAGCTTATGGTGTTTTTTTTCCCCAGTACTGTCCTTTACCTTAAGTATTTCAGTTTACAATTTACTATTACTACTACTATTATGCAGAAATGTGTGTGATTTTCTTATTAGCAGAAAGATCTTTATACCATTATATGAAGAAAGACTGAATGAAGACAAAACAAGCAGAAACAAGCAAGTAAAAAAATGGGACTGATTAAATGAACACGCCCGTTGATGAACTTGATATTTGTGGGGTTATGAAAGTCAAAGTTTGACAAAAACAAGGCCATAAAATTAATTTTAGAAACAGAAGTCAGAGAAGACACCTGAAACATAATTAGAATAATGACAATAAAAGGCACTGAAATCAAATTATTGCAAATTCCCTGTAATATTTCAACATTTACCTCCAAGCGGCTAAAATGTATTAACTAATTCAACACTTTTCACAAAAAACGCAAGCAATCCAGTTGATTGAAGCGTGCATGCTTAGAAGCAAAAAACATTTAAGTGAACTGGTTGATATGCCTACAGGTAGGACAACATAAGAGTATGTTGGTTTTTTTTCTAGTAACCTTACTCCTACGTCTGAAAATCACATGCCATGTACTCCTACGAGTATGCAAGAAATATTACAGTATACCATTTAAAAAAAAAATCTCTAAGAAATAAGGTATGTCATTTTTTTTTTTTTTTTTTTTTTTTTTTCTGCACCCCACTCCCCACCCCTGCAAGTTTCAGAATGTCTGTTGTTACCTTTACTTTATCCACAACTGGTTTGTCCTCATCAGGGTCGGGGTCCCTCTGTCCCAGGGAATCAGACAGGAGATCCAAGGCTTCATCCATCTCTTTTCCTCCCTAACAAAATATAAACACATTAGTGAACACAAATCAGCTGTAAAAATAATTTAATTCATCAAGCTAATTAAGTACTGACTAATGAACTGTCAACTTCAGTGAACAATGAACAATCATCTCTCCCTTTGTAATTACAATGTAGTGCAATAGCTGGGGAAAAAAATACAGAATATTTAGACCTACAGAAAACAATTTCAAGGAGGGGTTATGGAATTTACTTTAATGGCTTTTTTTTTTGTTATACATAAGCCTAACTGATCTAATGAGAACAGTTCTATGAAAAGATCGTTTTCTGGTAACTGCCATTCATTTTGCAAACATCATTATCACTGCAGATTAGCTGCTAAGAAAGTGTCAATCTGAATTAAAACTTATTAACATTTTATCTTCACAATATGTACAGTCTTTTCCTAATTCACACCAATTTTATTCAAACACTGGTTAGAAAAAAAGCCCTTAAAACGAACTAAAACTCAGGTGGGAGGAGCTTTATATTCCCCTTTCAAATTAGGCTGGAAACACTAGAGGGAGCTCCCACTGCACGTATCAAAATGGAGAAAGAAGGAGGCATGCAACACTACCACTAAATGCAAGGAAGAGAAGTTCTCCTAGTATTAAAAGGAGGTCATGACGCTGCCTGTCCCTCCATTAACCTTGACCTCCTCCTTTTATAGGCTTAACAGATGACTTTGGCACTATGGTAATGACTACACTATTATTATTTTAAATATTCTCATTAGCTAACCAGGAGAAGAAAGGTGTGGTTCGGCTAAAGGCCCAAGCCTAAAAATGAGACCATTTGCACATAGGTTAACTACCCGCATTGACCCATAGGAAGGAAATGCACACATCCTCTCATGTCCTCAGTAACTCTGGAGGAATCAGCACAGGACTGGGCACTTCTTTTCCAAACACAGGTGAGGAGGCTTTAAAGGCAGGCTGAAATACAACAGTGAGCGGAACTCGGACAAAATGGGCAGACCATTCTTCACAGTCAGTTGAACATGAAGTGTCCAGAAACTTGTGGGTTTTTTTTCCAGAAGGAACATTTGCTTTCCCCTCAATAGCTAGTATTAGCAATAAATCATTTAACTTTGCAACAGTCTATATTGGTAAAACTGGCCGGCCTATGCTCCCATCTCTCTTAATTTGTCAGTTCTTAAATTTGAGATAGAATAGAACAGAATAGAATAGAACAGTTCAGTTGGAAGGGACCTGCAACAGTCATCTAGTCCAACTGCCCGACCAATTCAGGGCTGACCAAAAGTTAAAGCATGTTGTTAAGGGCATTGTCCAAATGCATCTTAAACACTGGCAAGCATGGGGCATCCACCACCTCTCTAGGAAGCCTGTTCCAGGGTTTGAACACCTTCTTGGTAAAGAAATGTAGATCCTAGATAAGGATCTACAGAAGAAGTTGCTTACTGAGGTAGAAGCTAGAGGAGCTGCTGAGTGCACTGAAGAAACTGTAACAGCAGAGATAACATCTGAGGAATCTGCAGGCTTTTTATCCTCCTGGGTTTTCTGAAACAAGACACACCATCATTACTAACACAGAGGACTAAGAGAAAAATATGAGAAATATGCATCGAATTCCACGCATCTAAAATGCAATGCCCACACAGTTTTTCTAGGATTTTATTTTTCTTAGAAACTCTACTTATTTCAGATTGAAACCCTTTCTGGAGAAGCACTGTGCAACTGTTTTGCATCTCAGTTTGTCCATGTTCAATCTTCCATCTCAACTACTGGGTTAAATTCCAGCATAGATTAAGTCAGAGGCAGGTTTTATGTGACTTCAGAGGAGTGAAGATTTCATCAAGCCCATCTATATTCCTAAGCAACACTTTTTAAAAGTCTCAACTGCAAAGCACTACTTATGCAAGCAACTGGTAAAAAGATATGACAACTAACTTCTCTAGTTTTTTCTAATTATTAAAGTCCTGCTCTCTCTTCTATTAATTTATTGAAAAGAATATTTAAAATTTTTATTTACTGAATTTTATTTAAGGAAGTTTACATAAAGTTTAAAGGAAACAAATAAAATATCAAGACTATTGAAACAATTTGAAAACAGAACAGATTTTCAGAAATCAAATATACTCACCTTTATTACAGATGGTGTAGGTAATGGTGCAGATGGGGATGGAGAACAGGAAAATCCTTCTGTCAAACCCTCTAAAAGTTCATTTTCACTCATAGGCTATCATTAAAAAAAAAAAAAAGAGACTTTTAAGTTTTTTCATCTATTAAAAATTGAGTAGGTAACACAACCTATCTCCATTTTTAAACTGAAGACTGGGAAACCTTACTGACATTTGAGTAAGTAATTAATGAATGAAACATTTATCTGAATGTTCACTTTTTTACCTGGGACTTTTCTTCAGGTTTTGGCAAGAGTGGTTTTCCATCTTTATCCTACAAAAGAAAAAGATCCTTGTATTAAACCGAGCAGTCCTTAAACGACCATGCAACATGTACTCTGAGAGCACTCACTGAATGACAGATAGTATTACACAAGAAAATGATCTAACTAGTAACCTCTAGCACCTACTGCTGTTACTCAAGGTGTCATTTAAAAAAATCCAGGTCCTGTAACTTAGAAACATCTGAGGGCTGAAAAGTGATTCAGTGTGTGGGATTCTGAGCTTCCCTATTTCGTGTTTCAACTTCCATGGAAATAGCACAATTAATAAATAAAACCCCAACTTCCAGATTGGTAACAATATTCCTGGATGCAGAGTCCAGAAATGCTGTATCTTCTCACACTGGCAGCTGTGGCAGGTGTTGTGCAAGTCTTGGCTACACCTAAGCAACCCAAATATGTCAAACGAGTCATGTGGTGACGTTTGTAAAAATAGCACCTTGAAGTGTTGGGTTTTTTAACAGCTTTGACCAATCACAATTTATTAAGCTCTAAAATACAAAAAGCTAATGAAAGACTCCAGTGCACGAGTCTCAGCCAAAATTATTCCTGTGTAGGTATATGCATCTAAACCACTTTTGTGCCTATGCAGGCATCTAATGACAGATGTCAGATATTCAGGAACTACAAACTGGAATTTTTATATACTATAAAAATGGCTGAACTAAACACCAACATTTCAAAATGAAATGGAGTTTCACTTTCATCCACATATTCAGGAACAAAAGGAAAGTAAGATTAAAATAGCACATTAAACAAATTACTTTTGCTTCTGTTAATCTGTACTCTGGAGGAATTGTTTCTTCATCTTCACCCAGTTTTTTGCGTTCTTCCTGTGTGGTTTTCTCCTACAAAGGCAAAATAAAAATAACATTAATAAAACGAAATAACTATATCCCAACAGACATGCATATAAGCAAGCTTTCAAAGTCTTCAGTCTACTGTTTCAAATTAGTCTTTCAATCCAACTACCAGGTAAAAATCTCATGCAAATTAAAAGAAACCCTCTTCTCATGAGAAAGCCTTCATTTCTCTGCCTGTTTCTTCCTGTGTATATCAGAAGTAGCTCTACCTATTTCAATGAAGATCAACAGTTAAGTAAACAGACAAGCATGGACCAGTGACAAAACAGCATTATACCTGTGAGTCTTAATTCTTGACTTTTTTTGAAATCCACTCAACAGCTGCCTGGGCTGCATGCCAAGGAAGGCTGAACAGAGAAACTGCTAGCCATCTTCAAAAAGGACTACCCCCCATACAAGTTATGTTGGAACATGACAACTGAGAAAAAGTAGTAAAGACAACTTTGGGAACTTTTGCTTGATAGAGTTCCAGCTCATCAGAAGAGCTGTCCTCTATTTTTGGCTCAAGTAAATACCATCTGGCCCATGGTTTGGGGTGGCAAATAGGGGCATTAGTTTGAACAGCATTCCCTTAGACAGAACACACGTTTCAGTGACTTACTTAAGGCTCCCTGTTAAAATACCAAGATCAGTGAAAAAACCCAAACTTTTACATATCATTCCTAATTTAAAGAACTCCTTATAAAGTTGGTTCCTTTTGAAAAAGGACCATATTGTATGCTACCTCTGTTGTGCATGTTAATTCTGCTTTAGTTCAGCAGTAAGACACTAAGCAACTGCAGTTTTCAGAAGCTGAGGGAACTAATGTACTGTAATAGGCAAAATGAAGAAAATGTACTCACTGTGTTGAAATCCTACTAGTACTTCGTAAGCAGAACACAACCGGTTTCACAAGTAAATTTTGGTTGTAAAAAACCTGAAAATATTGCCTCTAAATTGTTTCTAGCCTGAGGAAATGCAGTAACACTGAAGATAATTACATCACAGATCTATTTTTTGAGGTCTGATTGTTTCTCTACCTTAACTTTGTCCACAGCAGGTTTCTTTTCATCTGGATCAGGCTCCCTCTTTCCTAGGCTACTGGACAAGGCTTCCAGTGCTTCATCTGCCACATGACCAACCTGTAAGGGTATCGATATAGTAAAAAACAATTCTTAGTTTGGAGTTCAGCTGCAGCTGAAGAAACCTGTTCACGTACTACCACCACCAGCCACACATTACTTAAGGTAAAAATTGAGAAGTAAACTAAAAAAACTGTACTGCTTGTCTCCCTAATTGTCATCACATACTTGGGATCTGCTGAGTTCAAGGCATAAGGAAACGTTGACAGGGATTGCTCTATAAACGTGCTTCTCCTTTCCAAAGACTTACTCACAGCTAAAATGTTCCACAAGGGATTTATTTGTTTGTTTGTTTTGTTTTTTAATAGAAGCATATATATTCTGTGAAAAGATGCAAGAATGCCAGCCATTAATGCAATCTTCTGAAAAATTCAGTAGGACAATGATGATTTTTTTTGTAGAATTTGTCTTCCTACAGTATCTATTAACTTCACAAAGAGCATCCCTTTTAGAGCATTAGGAGCTAGAGTAGACCACAAGAACTGTCAGTTTGACTTCCTCTATTAAGAAGGTCACTGACTTTCCCCATTCAGTTTGTGCTTGACTTGATTTTTTTGGAAAGCACTCAGCCTTCATGGCTTACCTCTATGGAGGAAGAATATGTAATATTGAAACAAGCATCTTGACAATACAGTATACCATTGCATAAATGAAGCACTGAGTTTTGCTTTAGCTCCAGCTAAGACTACTCACTGAAGACACAGCTGATGGAGCTGAAGACTGCACAGTACAAGCTGTGGCACGAGGGACTACTTCATCCTCAGTAGTTTTTCCAGATGCAGGATCCAAAGGCTTCTGAAACACAGCAATTACACTGCATTTTACTGAATATGCTCAGAAACCCAAAATGTACCTGTTAAGTGACTTTTTTTTAATACAGTACAAAACAAGAAAGAAAGTCTAAATTTAAAGGTAGAAGCCCCTCAATTAAGGACTAAGTGCCAATACTGCATGTTCCGCTGAAGCCAACGGGGGGGGGGGGGAAACAGAAACAGATGAAAATATTTTTTCTTGAAAGAATAGTAGCATTATCTAGTGTTAGCAAAACCACCAGCGTCAGTATCTTCAGTGAACTAGAAAGACATACTTTGGATGTGCTGCTGGGCTTCGATGGTTTGGATTGTACTGCAGGCTGTGCAGGGCAGGCAAAGTCTTTTGAAAATTCATCAACAAGATCGGATTCACTCAAAGGCTGCAAAAAAACCCATATGTGGTACAGGTGACTCACTGCCTGTTTTTAATTTATTTTTTCAAGAATTATATTTCAACTACTCAGAAAGCAGGAAAACTTTTGTAGCCTACACCAAAATAACCTTTCACATTTACGTGCAATGAAACAGCATGAATTTTGCAGTGCAAAAAATTATGAAAACCACGTTTCAGAATGATTCAGTTGCTTTGTTATCAAAAGTCAATATAATGTAGAGAACATTATGTTCCATACTGTTTACAGGCCTACTGAAAAGGAAAATGCAACCTCTTAATTAGAAAGAAAAAAGAATGCTAATACTTACTGGATAGTATTTACTCTAACAGCATCATGTTGTTATAATAGATCAAGTATAAATTCCACATAGGCAGTAGAAAGCAGCATCATCAGATTATGATTCTCCCATTTTAATTTTTTTTTCTTTTTTTCCAGCAGAAGTAGAGTTCCCTCAGAGGCAGTGTCAGCTGGAAGTTCTCTTAGCTTGTGCACTGACCGCTGATACTCAGTAGTTTTCACTGCGCATGTTTTAGGGAAAAGTGAATAAACTGCAGTTCTAGTTCCCTACTGTGTGATCTACTACAATCTGATGATACTATGTGATTTAGTACTACGTGTTCTATGTACTTCTGTGATCTGTGACTAATGGTCCTGGGATCCTTCGAACTACTGTTTACACCTAAATGTTTAAATCTTTGCTAGCAGCGATTGCCATTCACTTGCTACACAGAATTTAATTGGTTAGGGCTCATTTGGTCAAATTCATAATATGTAAAATGACATTTCTAAGGGAGAGTCTCTTACTTTCCCTCCCACTTCCCCTCCTTTGTCAATCAGTGCCCCTAAGTCTTTATAAAATGTCTCATTGCATAAGGCCCCACTTTTCATAATGACTGAATTCTCCACTAAATCAAAAAAACATTTAGGCAATAACAACTTTTTTCACAAAAGTAATGCCACTGCATGTGCTTGAGAGTATGCAGAATGGAAGCCCAAAGTAATAGAAGACCTAGTTGAAATCATGAAGGAAGAAGAACTTTGCATTCACTAGGAATCAAGGAAGAACTCTAAGTGGTTGGAAGTTTTTCAGCTATTGACATAACTTTTTTGTTTTGCTGGTTTTGGTTTCACAGATCTAAATTACTGATGATATCACAGGAATACTGGTGAACACATCTTGCTCAAAATTGCCTTCTTCCGATTATATATAGTGAAGTAGTGTTGAGAAAAATACTGCAATGTATGACTTCGATATCCCTGTTATTCACTTACAGAACAACTATTCAAATATATTTGTGTCTCTGACTGATAGGGGTGGAAGAGCATAGGAATACTTATTCTTCTACTAACGACTTAATTCTTTTGGCATAAGACCTCATGATTCTGAGCTCATCTTCTGCTTTGGTTTTGTACTAGACTTCAGTCAAACTGTGAACCAACCTCCCTTAACTCATGCCATGTTCTTCTTCTGGAACTTTTCTTTTTTTTATGTGTGCCATCTCTTTTGTGCTCCCTGTGAAACAGGAAGGCTTGTCTCTGAACATTAGTGCCTGGTTCTCTCAGAGCATAGCTGCTCTTTTTTGCTTATGACCTGCTTGGCAGACCTTCCTTCTGTGCAACTCTCATACATACCCACTCAAGACAATTGCATGTCTAACACCTGACATGAAAACTTATAGAGATGTGAAGTCTTTTCATCACTGCCTTTGCATTCCTCCATATTTCAAGCTTGAATAATACAAATGACTTCATGTTTCTGCTAAAAAGGCACAGTGTCATTCTTGCTCACATTGGTCCTGACCCTCATACTCATTTCAGAAGAACGGAGGTTATGTGTACCTTTCCAATTCTGGCAGCACTCCTCAACTCACAGTATTTCCAAAGTGAAGCCCTCAGTTTCTTCAGTGAACAGTTCCTTTGCTTTTTCTAATTTTTACCTTCTTCCTGTGCATTTTCAATTAACCTTTGTAACTTTCTCTTTCAATCTTTTCAATCCATCTTGCACTTTCTAGGCCACGATGGATACTTTTTGCAAAGTCCAAGTTGTTCTTTGCGATTAGGAGAATGACCACGGCAGCTTTTTCCTTCTTTCCAGTCGTGTTCCTTTATATTTGATGGCTAATGAGAGGAAGCTGTCAAGAAAACAAAAGATTTTCCTGCCTCGCCTTTCTCTGTCCTTCAACAGCTCCAACAGACTTCTATAGAATACCTTACAGTAACTCCCCATACAGCTTTTCTTTGTGTCAGCAGTCATTTCAGTAACTCTCTCCTATCTTTGTAACCTGTAAGCCTTTTTCTTACCATGAGCTCTTCATTCGCAGCCAGTGAATTTCAATAAAAACAACTTTCACTTGACACTTCAGATCAGCAGGTTTTGTGCAAGGAAGTAAACACACAAGCAGACCAAGAGACTTACATAATGGCACAGACAGAAGTGATGACAGAGAGGGAGAAAACAAGGTATCTATTCACACTCCTACAATATTGTCAGTTTTCTAACCTTAGGTTTTTCTTCAGGCTTTGGCAATATTGGTTTTCCATCTTTATCCTAAAAGTAAAGTAAATATTATTGACATTTTTCCATTGTTATAAGACGTGCAATACTCCATAATCACCAGCAAAATAATATAAAATAAATAATACACACAAGATTAAGTCAGTGACACAGTAATAGGAATTCCCCTAAGCAGAGGGAATTCTTACATGGCCAGGTGAGTGGATAAAAAAAGCAAATGTGATGTCAGCACAATACAAATGGGCCAAGAGACCAAAAAGCATTCATTCCTATCAGTATCAATATGCACCAGGAATTAATTCCACAGTATTCATCCAGTAGTAAAACAAGCTTTGAGTGCAAAAACCCAACATTTGCACTTGAACAAACAGGGGGTTAAATCCCAGGTCTGTAGTCAAGCAGTCTTGAAATTTCTAGAACAAGGCGTAAAACTGCTCCTTTCAAAACAGAATGTTAACATTCAGCTCCAGCAAGGCCAGTTTATATAACAACCTTGCCAACATCAGTTATACTAATAACCATCTCAAAAACTTTCAATTCTGAACTTTATGGAAAACACAACTCAGTTCTATTGTATTTGCTTAACCTTGAACAAATCTCCATCACTTGAAGTGACAATCTGAAAAAATGAGTGTCATTTTCATACCATTTTACGATAGTGTTTCAAGGCTACATTACAAAGAGATACCCAAGAGCAATTCTGTAAAGGGATGGATTTTACAACACTGAGGTTTAACATCAGAAACAAGTAACACCACTCTTGGAGAAGGAATGTGTGACCTGGGAAGATCAGAATACCTGAAAAACCCAGCCATGCCCACAAAGGAAGAGAAGGAAACCAGAGATACAGAAATCACCAACAGGAGACAACCATTGATTAAATACTAGTTTCGCTTGTTTTCCACACATTCTTTCCCTTTCTGCGAAGAAAGAAAGTGTCAGATGCAGTGCCCTACTTACAAAGCAATGGAGATATGAAAAACTTACCAACTCTGGTGTTAACCTGTATTCTGGAGGTATCGTATCATCACGTTCTCCAGCCTTTTCTTCTTTTTTCTCTTTAGCTTTTGCCTTAAAAAGAACGTACAAGAAAAATCACTTAGAGAAATTAAAATAAAAACTCAAAGTACACTCAACCTCACTATCAAGATTCTTCAGCCTACTGTTTGAATAAGTACTAGTGTCAGATAAAATTACTCCTTGTATCAAGATATTAAAATTCCTCCATTTATTCCTATCAAATTTCTGCGGTAAAATCATCATGGCTTGAAAAAAAATGCCATATGTGAATATGGCTATATTATTTTAAATTCTAAAAAACTTCAGACACTATTCAGAGCCGTAACTTTGTGGCAGGTACTTTTAGAATGTCTGGGGTGTACAAAGTCCTCAGGTTTCCCTGGATTTCATCACTCTGCTTATACAACACGTAATTCTGTATCTTTTTCCATCACTCCTACTGAAACGCAGCTTTTAATTCTCCAGACCTTCTTCATGAAGCAATGTTTCCACTAAGTTATCTGAAGGCCCAGATGGACTGAATCTGTAATACAACATGCTCTTTTTTGTCAAAATTGAGCTCCAACATCTTCTCTTGGCAACAAAT